GGGGCGGGGGGGATTCGGCACTTTCAGTGCTTTCACTTGTCGTTTCGAACCATTAAGTAGCTTTGTGGAATTTCGTGAAGTCATGAGGTGATAATACTCTGTCAACACTTGTAAAAAAATACCTGTCAACTCTTGTAAGGCGATGAGCACGGCAATGAAGTAGCGAAAGCGCAAAATGTCCCCCATTCCCCCTAGCCGAACTTCTCCGAATTTTCTGCTATGGTCCTGCCACGAAAGGCTACTGCACAGATGAGTAAAGGAGAGCTAGTCTGCAGCGCCCATTTTTAATTTTTTTTACCCTAACCTCGCCCTCATTGTAGTGCTATTTTCAGGAATCAATAATGTACCGGTGAAGAAACGTGGTATCCATAACTGCCATATTGCGGGTTGTGGAAAGGTCTACAATAAGAGCAGTCACCTCAAAGCCCACCTACGTTGGCATTCAGGAGAACGACCTCCGGTTAGTTCAAGAAACAGTTTACTATGTATATTTTCTGTGTTTTTTTAAGCAATTAAGTATTGTTATTGGAGGCGAGCCAGCCCGGTGGGCACTGACGCAATCACAAGACCGCAATTAACCAACTACAGTAATCCGACCATTAGGCAGTGAATCATTGTTAACGAGCAGCGGATCGTTTTTCAATGGGGTTTTGAGATACGCAGCTCGAGAGCAGCCCTAGGATGGGGAAAAAAGAGCACCAGATAGAGTCAGCATTTCGTAGCTTCACTAGGACTATCGCACATACAAGCTCCTCTTCCTGTGAAAATTCGGAAACAAGGATGTGGGTTTCAAGTGTGGAGAGCGCCACGCACCTGGGTCTCTCCTCAAGTTCATAAGCGTGATTGATTGGGCGCGGCGTAGATCATTTCATACATTGCTGTATATTATGCTCAGAATATAGACGCTTTTTAAGATTGGCACTGGGTGCGCTGCCCACTGGAGCCCAGAGAGGGATTAATGTGCCGCTGTTGTTAGTTTATACATAATCATCGTGTGGTTACTCAGAGTAGAGATTCTTTTGTTGGGTGGTTCGGGCCATCATTTTATTGAAGAGTGGGTGTAATTGGCTTGGTGGGGGCATTTTGAAGGCTCAAATGGTGGCTCAATTGATGTCCCATCGATCACTGTCGATGTCCTTTTTGGGACCTGTAAATTCTTGTGGAGCGCGGTATCCCTGACTCGACAACAGTCTGCAGGTGTCACCAGGGTAAAAGACACATGGTTCGGCTTGGTGGTGGCACCGATTGGACCCAGCCAAGCCTGTACAGGCCATTTGTGAAGGTCTGCAAATATCATGACCAAGTGGCCCAGTTGCACTTCGAACCGGCAGGGGAAGTTAAAGGTCTCAGGTTCACTTAGGTTGTAGGTCTCACTTAGGTGTAGCTTGCTATTTAACGTGAACTAACGAAAGGAGTTAACGGAAGTGCTAAATGCCCCTCCAAGGCAAACAGCGCTGGATGACTGTTTCTCTAAGCACAATGTTCCAAGGGGGTCTTCAGCTGCGCAATCAACAAAGCTTCTGCAAGTTGAGATATCAGAGGATTTAAAAGATCTGGAGGATTTTTCCTCGGTTGGAGGGGGTGGGATCAGCGGGTGACTTGTTCCAGGTCAGAAGACTATCTCATAACCTCTCAAATTAATGCTGTATTCAATTGAAGCAGTTTATACCGTCGTGATCCCTGCAAACGATAGGGCGTGCGACGGAGGCGTGCCCTGGAGCGGTGCCAGAGCGGCTTTTCCACCAATGATGCCGTAGTAGGTCCCAGCGATTGGCTGGATGAGCTCTTCTGGCCGCAATCCAAGCCACTCTTCGTTGCACGCCCGATCGTTTGCAGGGATCCTGACTATATTTCAGATTTTTTTCAGTGGATTTTTTTCCATTCCCTTGGAATTTCATTAACTGCTTGCAGAAGAGGCGGTCCGCTGAGAACACGACTACTCAACAATAAATGAATATCCAGCCAAAGGAACGCGTCTCACTTCGATTCCACACATCGACCTAATCCGATCAGAGATCACATTTAATTTGAAGAATTCCATTGAGAAACAAAAATACTAACTATACGGTATTGTGTTTGTGATTGTGCAATTGTGCGTGTGTGTATAAACAATGTCAGATTTGTGCTGCTGTGCGGACCGTCTGCTGTCCTCATTGACCCGCTTAGAGCGTCTGTGAAGTTGTTCACTTAGTAACTAATGGGTCGGTAACATCAATCACTTCGACCACCCCTGTAATCGATCGATTCTCCTTGATGCTTGCCGCCCACCTGTGGGAAACGCGCAACTCACATCGCGTAATCGCGAGAAAATTAACACCACACCGTTCCGACCATATTGAGCTTTCTTTTCCAATTATGGTATACAATCGGCGAGTGATCAACAAGTGGCTAGAAAGAATGCATGGCTTTGTTCGGCTTGGGAGGGGCATCTTGAACTTTTCCTGGTTTCTTCTGGTAGCTCACGTGGTTAGTGGTTACACTTTGGAAAGACTTGTAAACTCTTGTTAAGCTGCAAAATTGTATAAGTGAGCCCCTCAAGTTACAGGAATTTACAGGTTTTCACAATTCTGTACAAGCCTCGCTGAGTACTGTTTGGTGCCCCCACCAAGCCGAAACGCGCCGAATAAACAAGTCAATAAATAATAGTTTCGTAAGTGAGAAGATGTGCTCTCATCCTCTCATTGAACGTTTGCAGTCCTTCTGAATGGAACGAGTATAGTAGCATGTCCTGCACAGTGCTCGGTACGTGTCTTCCCCGCCGATCACTTCAACCTGAGAAACTTATAGAATCAAAATACATGGTAGAGTCTCAGTCGCTGATCAATTCTTCTGCGGGGATCGACACGCCATTGCTTTCAGAGCCCAAATTGGCACTGTGCTGAAGCGATGGGGCCCATACAATGACTTGCGAGGGCAGCCGATTTACAAGTCAGTAATCTTGTTCTCTCAGATGAGTCCGGAACCTACGCTACCCGTCCCCCGGGTAGAGGGCTTGGTTTGGGCAGAACCAATCCGCAGCATTTGGAGTCAGGGACGTGCCCCATGTCCACCTGTTACCTTGATCCTATACACACTTCCTGGCCTACAAAATTCTGAAAGAACAAAAACGAACTGCTTCTCGTTGTGCCATCTGATAGGTGAACGGAGCCATGAAGCGTCGCGGCACCGCATTCCATACAAACCGCTGATAGTTTTCTTGATTTCATCGCTGTACGATATCAACTGTGATACTTCGGGAAATGGCTGAAATGAACCACAACTGATTTGGGATGTAGAGGGTTTTGGCAGGGAAATCACGTACTGCAACGCAGCGGCAATCAAACTGGGTTAGACGCTAGATTGCTACATGCCCTCGCAGACTTTTCTGGCGTCTTGAAAAGCGGTGCTGAAATGCTCTGTCGAACGTTTCGCCGCCAGACGTTGGTACTCCCAAGTTGAGCAAGTCATAACTAAGCCATGAAATGATGTTCCGTGGCTAGAAGAGATCCCAAATCTCACCTTTCTGAGGAAATTTCCATCGAGTGCGGCGACCAATACCATTTTTCCTTCGCATGCTAGCTGCTCACAAGTGTACGCCAAATCATCAAACTGAATTGTACGTCCGTCATTCAACGTTTTGAAAAAAGCTCTGGCAACACTGTGACTCAGGAAAAAAAGAAAAATTAAGCAAAAAATAATCAAAGTGCAGATCATTCATATGTAAAGTCCATCTTTGCGTTCGGTGCTCTTAAACATTTCTATTTTTGAGAACAGTTTTTTTTCAGCTGCCGAAGCGCTGCGGTGCCTCACGGGGTTGAGTTCTTGCGCATAACACCAGCCCGTTTCCACGGGCTGTTGTCGAAAACCAGCTTTTCATCATTGGTGGAGAATTGGGCCTGGCAAAGCGCTCATACTCACCATTCCTGAAAAAACGCGCCAGCATTTGTAGTAACTAGACTGTATTAATCGTTTAGAGACTTCGTGAAATGGATAACTATTACGGAATTGCTCCTTTCATCGGATGGCGATTACTTCAGGTCTCCAAAGCGAAAAACCGAGGTTTTTTTTTTTTTTCCAGCTCTTAAATTGCCTTCAACTCCTGGCTATCAATCGTTGGCTCCATCAGCTATCACTCTGTAATATTTTTACTCATTTCATGGGGAAAGTGAGTATTTGATTTGAAAAAACGTCTTCACCAATTGGAAGACGTATTATCAACGTCTCCAATTGGTGAAGTACATACCGTATGATTTCCCTCACATTGCCTTCGCGCATTTCGAGTGCTTTCATATCTCGCAATTTGGTCGCTATGATAACGAAAGCGACTCGGTCGCACTAATTGCGCTTTGAAATTATAAACGCACTTCAACTGCGTTCAGACTTCGCGATAACGGACGTTATTGCGGGTACCAACGAGACCAGCCCCCCTTCCTCTGAGGAAATCCACCGACCACCGCCGGGTCTGTGACCTCCCCGATCTCCTTACGTCTGTTGAACAGTAACGACTCGCGCTGACTGATATTCGCCTATAGCTTTGCTCCCGTCTATAGCATGGGAGTGCAGTTACAATGGTGTCACGCCTTTTCGCGCCATGGTGAAAGCGCTGAGCGCTGCTGAAGCCGAAAAACTCGCGCGATACAATGGCCCGTAGCCACGTGGATTTCGTCGTGTTTGGAGTCGCACCCTGCATCTATCCCAATCGCAATGATAATATGGGCCATCGATATAAAATCATTTATTGATTACATACTTGCTTTTTTTCTTGTTGACCGCGATTTTATGTTTTTTCACACTAAAGTTCGAGAATACTGAAGACGCCGCCGTCTACTAAGAAAAATTAACGAAGTCACACCTCTTGTCGTGTCACGATCAGTTTCCGGCACAAACGAGTGTCGCACGGCCGTACTTCCAAGAATACGTTCTTGCCTGCCCTATTCTGGTAACGCATCGGTGCAATACGCAATGCAGCTTCAGTCCTTTGAAGCAACCTAAATTGGCTCATTCTCTAAAAAGGACTTTCATGAAACATTTGAGCGCCCACGTTTTCCACTGAACATCGGTCCCATAATGCACACGACGTGTCCTCGCCGGAAATCGGAAAATCCGACCATAATTAGCTGAAACTCATACAAATTGATAGGGTCTGATAAGAATTGCAGGAAAGTGTACAGCAATTCACTTTCTGACGTCTTAGTGCTTTGGGATACATTGAAAAGCATATTCACGCGTGCGCCATCATATGGGCGGAGGACACACACCTACATTTGTGCTCCTTTCATTGATGCGCTATTCCTTCAGATTTCGCTAAGGAGGAGAGACAAGCCGACGAAAACACTTGACAGCAGATTTGAGTCTAGTCTATGATCAGCGCGAAGCCTTTCAATCATGTTCACTTTACTGAGTCAGAGAAAATAAGGAGATCGTCGACTCTAGTGCGAAAATAACAGCATAGCGATGAGCAGTGTATCACACTGGCATTTCAGAAGTTACTCATAGTACACTGAATATTCTACGAACAAATATAAAAATGTTAGCTCGAGGAACGCCTTGCCGCGACAGATAAAGATCTTCGTGTGAGGTCTCCACAATATGAACGCATAAGCCCAACGAAAACCCGCTACCGCTCAAGTTTCCTATCATCTCCGAATTGATAACCGCTCCAAGCGTCGGCTAGCGCCGAGATTATCCGATTGGAGGACCTTCGTGATTACGTGCGGTGATCTTTATTGGTAAAGATGCATATTTACTCACCTTTGATATTTACTATATTAATATTGGAGTGGCTCAGTTCAGCTTGGTGGGGGCATATTGCTGATTCATCGCTGCCAGTCTCTTCTGTGGAAACCTGTCAAATCCTGTAGACCTACTTGTAACATGAGCTTTATTCGCAGTTGACAAGAGTCTACAGGTCCTATTCAGGCGAGACGTGTACTCAGACAGGAACTAGTAACAGAAACCAGCGGAAGAGCAAAATGCACCCCCTTCCCCCTCACCCAAGCCAAACTGTGCCAGAATTGAGCCACAACCAGAGCGCATCATGCTTGTATGAATTCCATAAGGGGTAGTGGAGATCGTATTCAGCCTAATTTACCGATTGTTCATTTCCCGAGTTGCACGTGTTTCCGTTCGTCTTCCCTGCCTCTTGGTTGGCGGCGCAGCACAGTTACCCTATTTTCTAAGGTTCACGGCGCACCCGCGTACAGGTGCTTCTTAGCCTCGAAGGCTCATTCGGCTTTCCTTCTGCGTATTTTTTGGTATATTTGCAGGATTTTATCAATGTGAATGATCTGAATCGAAGAAAAGTGGTGAAGTGGTTGAGGACCGAAGATTAAAAATTGCAAAAAGGGCTGAAATGGTTTCCGCTGAAAAACGCTCGCGTTCAGCGTGCGACTCCGTGCCCAAGGCAATAAATGTGCCATACCCCAGGGAAAGGGTAATTTTTTTCCTGACAGCTGATTAAAAGTGGCTAACCCCATCCACTCGATGGCAAAGGTGTAGGAAATCCCCATAAGGTGGAAGGCAGGAATGAGGTCTCCTTTTTCATAAGGGGTGGGAGGGGGTTGCGTGGTGCCTCGCAATGACACTGCTTTACACATCTCGATGGTTTGCTCTGCGTTAGGGTTGCGGCGACGCACGAGAACTAACAAGCTATCCCTATTTTTTAGCTAGTTGACTTGACACACACCACATCTCGTCCAATCCATTAGATCCTGATGCCCCCTACGCACGCACGAAAACTTCACGTCCTCGCTGATTCAACCTTCCACACCCCACCACTGGTGGTTGGACTGCAACTCAACCCGCAAAAGAATCTTCGAGATCACCTCTATTCTCAATGAAATCGAAGCTCATAGAATAACTCTGGAAAACGTTCATCAGGATCATAGTTCACAGTAAGAATGAGTTGTACAAGAATCTCGTCAAAATATTACAAACTGCAATATTGATGGAGCACATGGTAACACCCGTTTTTTGATTATAAAAAGTCACTTACGAGTTGATGTAATAGCTAGAAGTTAAGTGGTGAGCATCACTGACTATAACAACGTAAACAGTGTAACAGAACAAACAAACACGAGATCTAAAATGAAACCAGGGATCGAAAATTTAAGAGTGTGCAGCTAACTTTCAAATTAAGCTGTATCAACAAAACAACTAACTGACTGGTATATACCAACAACTCTCATACGGATGTCGATCCACTCCAACAACATTCGCTAGATTGTCGACACTGTGGCGCCTCTGGCAGAATAAGCGGACGCCACGCACCATAAAATATTTTATTTATTTATTTATTTATTTACTAGCAATATCAGTCACTGCTCTTGAAAAATATAAGAAGACCAAGAATAAGAGGGCACTTGGTCGTGGTAGACATGCGCGGCGTTGATATCTTTTCAGCTCCTCATGTTACAGCTAATTTAAATAAATTTCATATACTTTCAAACCAATGTGCCCATATTATACCACCTTTTGTAACTGTGACTTCTGTGACAGTTGCAGGCATCGGCATCGGCCGCGCTAATCATATGGGCGGAGACGTCCAAATATTGCGCTTTCTTCGGTCGAAGGCCCCTTGCTTCGTCATTTGTGCGTCCTTACTTCTATGGACTGGTAAAAGGAAGATGCTGCACCAGATGAGAAAGGCACGATGGCTGTTCCATCTCCGCCCCATTGCGTACTAGCGTGCCACAGCTCTCATATAGCATAAAAGCTTGACCTTATAGAGGAGCCAAAATGAAGTCAGCTTTAGAAGGTTCTCAAGTTAAAATACGTAGTACAGCTCTCTTCTTATCGCGCCCGCTTTTTGCTGCCTTAGCGTCGTGCACGTCGAGAACCGTTTAAAGGGATTAAAGGATTAAAGTCTGTGCGTAATCAAATCCCTTTTGTGGGATGCGGCACGCATTCTTACTTCATTTCAGAATCGTAGTGCTTATTGAATCCCAGCCGATGTAGCAAGGTCAGTGTTTCTGATCCTCCCAAGATGAATTCGGTAGTACAATTGTACGCGTCCCCAGAGCGGTAGAAGGCTTGGTGGCCTGGCTGGGATCAGTCGTAAGCTTTGGATTTGCCCGGCGCCGCGGCGAGTGTAACGCGCGCCACTTGTCACTACACCACCTCCGCCTCCAAGAACCGTTAATTTTAGAAAACGAAAAGATATTGAGCCGATGACACCAGCTCCGTTCATTATATATCAGATAGGCTGTAAGCACTAATGAACACATCCGCCGGCTCGTATGTTCTGTCGGCATGTCAGGCCTATCACCGTCTGCTTGCCTAAACTGCGTGTGTCCTTTCTAGAATGGAAAGAAATAGGGCCAGTCACTGTTGATCCGGCGTCCGCCCACACACGTGCGTGGACTGCGTCTTCGAACTTATTCGTGCACCAGAGGGTATGAGGGTACATCACTAAACGTTGATTCGGGAAACCACAATGAAACATCAAGACATTTCACAGTCACCAGTGATTGTTCCCAGATAAAGGCGAGCAAATCCAGGGCTGGTCTAGTCCAGGTGCTTCTTCAATCCTCCTCAATAATGAGAAAGTAAGCGCAACTCGGCAAGGTGGGAGCACTGAACGACAATCAAACAAGCTTTTTCAGACCGCTTGCACTAACCTAGAACTTCCTGTAACCAAAGTGATTCACTCGTACCATTTTGCACCCTAACACGACTTCATAGGTCTGTCCAAAGTGAGCTTATAGTCCACGTGATCCAACAAAAAGAACTAGCGAAAGTGCAAAAGGTCCCCTTGAAGCCAACCAGCGCTCGAAAATACAAGTATAAAGCATCGACAGCGAAAACCGCTGCAGAAATTTTGGCCCGAACTGGAAAAAAGCGTACAAGTTGAATAAAAAGTCCAATATACCACACGTGTTGCAATGCCGGGTGTCAGCAGCTCAAATTACTGGAATGCAACTAGTTAATATACCTGATGTTCGACATCCTGAACTCCAAAGGTATCATCAGTCCCATTCAAGCTTGTCGCGAAGTCGTGCAATAGCGGTTTCTGAGACGAACGAGGGACGTTCTCCTCCGCTTGATTCAACTTCTTCGAAATTGGAAATTGTTTCTCGCAGCAATACTGACGCTAGACCAAGGATCACCTGAAACCCATTACCAGTAATTTTTACAGCTTTTCCATGAGATAAAAAGTAAAACATACATGCTTGCTTTCTCGGAGCAACCGCATCGCTCGGACCGCATCTTCTCCAAGTCGCCCGTCTGTTCCTTCGATCAGGATTGGATCCAAAAGATCTCTCGTGAGGCGAAACGGGACCCGTTCAGGGATCGGCAGCGTTCTTTTACTGTACTCCAGGATCATACCTATTACATATCAAATATATTTACAGTGAAAGCCATAAAAAAGAGGGGGTGCCAGCTGGGAGAGCCACGTTCAACCGGAGCGCAACAAACTATCCAGTTGACGCGACGCAATGGTGCACTACCACATTAAGTCATTCAGGTCCTGGTGTTAATCCCGCGCCGCAAAGTGGATCTCCAAACCGGCATCCCCATACACGGTTATTATGGCAAACAACTAATTGAATGGCGGTACCATACAAGGTTTCGACCCTACAATCTAAAAACTCATTGACTATTCGAAACCTACTGCTCAACTGAGGGCATAGGAAAACAGAAACCTGCTCACCTAAGTCAATATGGACCAGTTTGCAGGTGTCAGTCTCGAAGAGCACATTACTGAGGTGGCGATCACCAAGGCCTACGACATAGGTCACTGAAACAAGTAAGCTTTCGTGAATAACGCATTTCACGAACGTTCCAAAAGATTCACACGACTTATGCCCTTGATAGGTCGAAAACTAATCTCGTGACAGATTGGTGAACCCTAAAACATCTTCCAGGACACTGTAGGGCCCAAAATGAAAGATTAAGGGAGCGCGACAGTTGCGCTTCATGTGCGAAGCATTCTATCTACGACTTCACAGAATGTTCCCGAAAGATGTTTCTAGAAAGAAGTACAGAGAAAAGCAAGTTTGGATGATCCCGCCGCAAAAGGAATCGAATTTCCAACCAACATAGATCGCTGGACATCGAAATCTCAAGGGCATGCTAATCGTATGGGCGGGAGGAGCTGAACATTTCCTCTCTTTCTTGGGCTCCCCTATACATTACCGTCTTAGCGGTGGAAGGAGGTATGCACCAATGAAGAAGCCACAATGCTTCGATATCCCCGCCTACACAATCATTGTGGACTGTACTATAAGAGATCAAATTAGCTCCTTCACATGGTTCTGTATCACTGCGTTGGCAAGGTGTATTAACCTCTGATTGCACCAAAAAAACCGCTTTCACTTTCACTGAGGAAGAGACATCTGTCAGAGACCGTTCTCTGATCCAAGGATGATAGTCTTGTTCGTTGCGGATGATAGGGCGTGTCAAAGGGGATGCGCTTGACGCAGCGCCATCCCGTTTTTTTTCTTTCGACAAGTGACACTACTGTATCATGTTTGTATCCGTCGTTTTCCTTGAGTTGGTCGCTTACCCGCTTCAACAACTGGTGGGGAAAGGCTGGCGGCGCGCCGAGCCTAGCCTCACTGACACCCCTCCCATCCGCAGCGAACAAGACTGTTAGCATCATACTTTAGAACTCACCTATACTCCATTGAGCCAGACTCCGTCTATAATTGTCAATCATATGCGCCCATGAATGGACCGTACTGTGCTGCCCATAGAAGAAGTGCCTACAATCAGCTGAGGAGGATCGCCAGTAAACATTGGATGAAGACTTTTAAGCATATGAATATCGAAAAAATAATGTTGAAGATGATTACCTGAAGACAGGTTTAAATACAGCGCAAGCTGCTCGGAACATCTTCGATGCTTCGCTCACTTGCGTCTTTGCGGCATCTTTCAACATGGTTCGCACTTGGAGGGCTTTTCTATCAAACGGCTCTTCTTTCAGATGCAGGCCACTAACAAGGTCCGTCCCACATAGAAGCTCTTCTGAGGAGATGAGCAAAATTATTTTGGGATACTTGGTCACTGTAAAAAGTTAGAGCTACATACTTAGCGATACTGTTCCTTGGCAGAATTCTATTATACCACATTTGCTATCCAAAGGCACCACCTGAAATAAATCAAGAGATATTTTCACATAAAGGTACAGTCCATGCTGATTGTATGGGCGGAGACACCCAATGACAGAGCCCTTTTGACCGCCAATCCCTCCTCTTCACTCTATCTGAAGGAAAAGTTGCAGTCAATGGGTTTCTCCGCCTACACAATGAACGAGGTTTCGTCATTGGATCTACGACTCCAGAAAAAATAGGAGCTGCTCGGCTTGGGAGGGGCATTTTCGCACTTTCTATAGATCCCCTGCCAGCTGTGTTAAATTACATGACACTCCACGGTGATACCTGTAGACCTCTGTCAAGTATAAACGAGGCTCTTGCTATTGCATAGCTTTGCAGGAATTAACAGGACTCCACAGCAGGCGTCAGCAGTGATTGACAGGATCCAGCAAAATGCCCCGCCAAGTAGGACTGCGCCAAAAAAATACTTTGTAAGGATTTTGAGCCGTGCGATTTCGATGAATGGAGAATTGGCATCCTTACCTTATAAGTGCGAAGAAAGGCTGAAGGTTCGCCACGATTTAGAATCCCATTGACGACTGAGAAAAGCTGCTCAACGAGACTGTCCTGTCGGACGTCTTCGTTCTAAATTTGAATATGCAGGCCCTACAGTATGATTGCTGTGACAGGAAATGTCCCCTTCCACCTACC